GGAGTGCCCTTGGGACCAACACCTATGGATGGGAAGGCAGGCCTATGCCCTACGCCAGTTGGCCTTTAGATGTGAGCTGCTCTGGAAGGAGAGGTGACCTAGGTTGATTCTCTTTCAATTAAGCTAATTCCTACAGGGGGCTGATAGCTGAGAAGTCTGCTACAAGCATTCCATTCCCAACAGCTTGGAAATACAGTAAATTGTTCATGCCTTCAGGGACCTGGGAGGTACATCCCAGTATCCACCACACTGAGTCAGTGAGGACTCTTACAGAATTAAGTAGGTGAGCCCCCAGGGAAAGGCAAATCTCATTTGGGTCTGGGAGACCTTCTCACACCAGCTCCACACCTTTGTCAGTTTGTCAGTCTCCCTATAATAGGACAACTCTTGGGGACTTCTTGTTCCTGCCTCGGACCTCATCCTAGACCAAGACAACCAAAGGAAACAGAGTGCAAATACAGGAGATCCTGCAGAACTCCAGGTACATACGGAATGCTCTGAAGGAGATTGGCTTTTTCTACTACCTTTTATCAGCCCACAAAGAGCTGTCACCTCTGAGCTTTCTGTTTGTGCCAGCACCCCCTTCAACAGCCCTGTATGGCTTTTTAACACCACTTGCATTATTTATTCTATGGAACTGTTATGTTTGGAATCATTTTTATGTGCTAATATCTTGTTTCCTCAATTAGATTGTGAGTTCCCTGAGGGAAGGAACAGATTTTAACTTATCTTCCATAATAGCTACCTTGGTTCCTGGCTCATCTTAGATATTTAAGAAACATGCTATTTGATGGGATTTAGGAAGAAAGATGTGTTTGTTCAGCTCACCTGAACAGAGACAGGAGATGGAAAAGCCTTCATAAAGGTTTCCTGGCATTGATTGAGTCTAATTATCTGCCTTTGGCCACAGGGTGGTTAGGGAGGAGCAATGTGCTGTCCAGTTTTCTAACCTTGCTCCACCTAAGAATAACCCAAGGTCTCATCCAGAGCTCACCCTGAACTACTGAACTGGTGTCTCCAGTACAGGGGCCTGGGTTAAATAAGCACCACAGGGGATTCTTATCTGGGAATCCCTGGCAGTGAGAAGTGCAAAGTACTAGGACTTTATCATAAGCACCTTGTACAAATCTCTAGTCCTCAACTACCTCTTCAGTAACTGGCCATAATGCCTATCCACACACTCTTGTGAGTACTGGTAAGGTAACAGGTATGTGAAATCATTAACATGGTGTTTGGTATCCAAGTAGGCATTCTCCACTCCAAATATTACTGATAGTCTGACAAACCAGTTACAGGAGCTTAAGATGTCTTCTTAGGGTGGGGAGTATACCCAAGCCATGTATAGGGTTGACAGACAATGGTCCTGTAAGTGTATTTGTATGATCTGTAAGAATTCCGAGGTGTATAGTAGAGCTGACAAAGGACAAGGTTGTAGTCATTGCTTAGTCACAGCCAGCTGCCCAAAGTGACCGAGTAGTTGGACCTGTGGGCTCAGGACCACAGTTGCAGAGGACATCAAGCTCAATTGGCATAACATACTACACAAAACATTGTTCCACCTCCTACTTTGGTGAGTAGTGACTGGGATCTTAAAAGCTTGCAAGCTGCCATCTAGATGCAACGATGGGTCTCTCCTCATCCAGAGCAAAGAAGAATGAAGAAAACCAAAGATTCATGGAAACAATTAGTTCTGGCGACTGGTACACCATGTGATCCGCAGCCTATATGACTATGAGACCAGAAGAACTAGATGGTGCCCAGCTACCACTGTCAACTACTTGGAGGGGGATCTATGTAGGAGATCCTGGATAGAGAGGGAGAACAATGTGGAACAAAACTCACAATCATTTGGAGAAAAAAAAGGGGGACCAGGTTTGCTGGTCTGATAGAGCCTGGTGGAACCACTGAGACTATGGCCCCTAGCTGCCCTTCAGGTCTGGAATTGAACCCACAGCTTCCAGCCAAACAAAAGACAGGCATAGGAGTTGAACATTTACCTGAGGTAGATACACTCCTTGGAGAGATCAATCATGGGAGAAAGAAGGGCTGTGTATGCACAGGGAGACAGCTCAGGAGGCAGGAGTATGTGGAGGGATGGACTTGGGGAAGAGATAACTATCGGGAAGAAATGGCAGGGGAGCTTTTGCATTGGGGTAAATTGTAGTCAATGTCATGAGACAGTGTATGCGAACTCTTGTATGCAAAGTAAATTTGCTCTGTAAATTTTCACCCAAATCACATTTAAAAAGAAAAAAAAAGATGTCTTCTTAGGTCAGAGGCAAAAAACAAGTGCTTGTGAAAGAACAGGTGAGGGCCACAAGGCTTTCTGTACCTTCTCAGGGAAGGTGGGGGGCAGTAGGTCTACATTTTTATTACTATTTCTCAAGATGGGATCCTTAGACCACCTGCATCAGCCAGCCCCTAGGTTCCACCTCCAGGCTTTTGGAAGAGGGGCTAGGAAAACTTTTAATAGCCTTCTCAGGTTATATTTAAGCACAATAAAGGTTGAGAACCATTCCCAATTCTTTTCTTTTACCAGTGAATTGTCTGTTGATATGAAAGCAGATTGGTGAACAGTCTCTCAAGTTTTTTCAATTACTTCTATGTTATTGTTGTTATGTGCTGTCGAGTTGGACCCAACTCATAGGAACCCCTCCTTGGGTTTCTGAGGCAGTATCACAACAGAAGTAGATTGCCCAGTCTTCCTTCTGAGGAGTGGCTGGTGGGTTTGAACTGCCAGCCTTCTGGTTAGCAGTCAAATGCCTTAGGCACTATGCCACCAGAGCTCCTAATTAGTTCTCCAACAATTAAATAAAAAAATCACTCCTGTGGAACAATGTTCAGTGCCCACCCATAGTTATAAAAATGCATCCTATTTTGAAGCCAGCATATTTTTTTAAAAAAAAGCATCTGAAGTTCTTTTTCAAGGACTAAGCACCAGAAGCTCTCTTTATAGATTGTTTACACACACATACACACTGACAAGACAGCATTACTAAGCTAAGGCTGTTATGAGAAAATGGGTATAGTGGGTGTTTGCTGAAATGATCATTAAAATGGCTTAAATACTGGAAACTTAAGATATGTAAACATCCACATTGTCTGAACATCTTTTGTACATCAAAGGATTTTCAAGTGCTGTTGTCTGGCTACAGCTTGTGTTTGCTACCAGTGCAGCCACAACAGCAGTGGCCTAGGAGATGAGGGATGCACCACTCATTTGTGAAACCAGAGAGCTGGCGCAGATCAGACAGCCCTAAGCTGGAGCACATGAACCAGGGATGGGGTCAGAGTTTGGTTCTCATGAAATCAGCAACAATATCAGGCATGAAAACGTATCTGTTATTTCTGGGTATAGACTCTACAGTTTTTCTTGGATTCTCAAAAGTTCCTTTGCTCCCAAATGGTTAAGAATTACAGATGGATTACCACGGAAGATTCTCCCAGCTCTGAGATTCTACAGAAAAACCATGCCCCAGCTTCCTGAGTGCTCCATCTATACAGCCTGCTCTTTCCCCCACAAAATACACCTTGTTGTGCAACACACACTTCACTTTGTATAAATAAGACTGTTTTTTCTCCAGACCATATGATTTAACTTGCTTTAATGTAGTCTGCTATAAAAATGAATGAAGACTTCTGCATGGTACATTTGGCTTTACAAATGTTAACGACTAGTTAATGTTCATGTTATGCGTTGCACATCATTATCTGTTGACTAGTAAACAGCTTTCGCAACGTGGGTTAATACCAAAATCTGAATCATGAAACTTTTACTTAGCACATACTATCTACAGCAAACTTAAATACTATCTATAATATCTAACTGGATGAGTTAGATCCATTGCAATATTGTGCTTATTTATCTCAGAAGATAGGTAACTAGCAAAAATACACATTTCCTTTGTATTCCCCCAACCCCATATTACACTGTAAAAGAAATACATTATTCAGTGCACTTCCTAAGAAATAAACTTCCTTATAGTATCTCTTTCTATATATGTATCTATGCCAAAACAAAGGAGAGCACAATGCAACTTTTAAGATTACCATGTAAAGCAAGAGAGGTAACACACTGGGGCGGTAGGTAGCCCCTCTCCCGTTTAGAAAAGTTGAGCTATCTTAATCACGAACACTGTTCCTTTTAGTATGCGTGAGGATAAAGTTCAATACGTGATTGCTTTGCACAGTTTAAGATCCCCCTTTCATCATTTTGGTAGACATCTTGGGGCATTAATAGCACTTTTATCTTTGATGTTTTGGTCTTAATCAAACCATAAGCTGAATTTATCCATCAGCTACACTGTGAACTAGACCTCAATTTCCACCCCATGACTTGCCTCCATCAGTGCTTATTGTGTTAGAGGGAACAGATTTAATTTAGAGCAAGAAGTAAAGGGCTACTGGATACAAGTTGGATAGGAGAATGTATGTTAGGACGACAAAGTCTATCTTTGTGCACATGAAAACATATATAACCCACGTGTCTCAGCTGGGCTGTGGACAGTCCTGCTTGGAAGAGGGGAAGCTGTGTCAGCCTACACGGTTGGGAAATCTAGAAGCTTTTGTCCCCACAACTTCCCTATGATGGAAATGACCAGAGTTCCTAGAAATGAAAAGGACTGCAACTTGGCAGGCTGTGATGTAAATCCAGCTGCAGAGGTGTATAAGTAGCAGTTTTAAAAATTTTGAATCAGTTCTTGATTTTTAAAAACTGAAAATATTCCTCATGAAAATTTTTTCATAAAGATGTGAAGAGCTGGTAAGCCTGGTCTAGAGTTCTTGTATAGAAACAGGCGGCTAGAGCTGAACAGCGCCTGCCTCCTATACACGGGGCTTGAGCTCGGCAGTGTGCTACTGCACCCGTGACTCCCACCACCGTGCACCATTTGAGTGACCTGCTTCACCAACTCCTATGACCTCTCTAAGACCTCTCTAGTTGACCTCAGAGTTAGTTGATAGTTCTAACTATCAGTTCTAACTAATAGTTCTTAGCTATTTTTTTGTGATGCTGAAGACCTGGTTTCTACAACTAATCTGTGTACAAATTCCTCCCTTAAGTAGGTCCCTGGTTACTTCGATAGGTAATCTTAACGTGCATTTTGACTTGTCCTTTAGGCTACACTGAAAACGCCAAAGATATAATCACATTAATACATATCTGTTTGAGTGTGTGTATGTTAAACATGGAGAGGAGCATGTATCTATACAGATATATATATATATATATATGTATGTATGTCCATCTAGGCAAAAATTAATTTGGTTCCACAGATACAGACATCATCAAGTGCTGGCAGTCTGGAGAGTTAAGTGTAACAATTTGGTAAAACCTGTGTAATTCTGACTTACAAATTACAAAGTGAGTGAATTTTAAGTTATTGCTTTTTGATTACAGAATAAAGAACTCACTCTTGCAAAACCTTTATACAGAATGAGTGACCATTTCCTATTCAAGTAACAGTGATTAAAATCAGAAGTTCCTTACACGACAGTAGATGCTTGAAGACATTTTTTGAATGGAAATGTGATTTCATTCGATTCAAGAAGTTATGCAGGAAACCTAGAGTTCCTTAATTTTTCAAAAGTACAAGAAAATCAGCACCCCAAATGCTTAATGTTCAGGAGGGTTTCTCAAGGGCTCTATAAAGCTCAGCTTTGTGGTGAGTTCACACTCACCTTTAGAAGGATTCCCATTCTCTTATGCAGCCTTGTTTTAGAACACAAAGCTTGTATTAAAAACAATAAAAGAGGATTAAAAGCAGTGTTGGTTTTTAACATTCAGAATTCATAGAGGATTTCATTTTCTGCAATTAAATGATCTGTTTTGTGTTTTTGCTGCAGAATCACATTCATATGGCAGTCTTATTTCAGGCACTTTTAAAACATGTTCATCTGGAATAAAAATCTGCATGAACCACTTCTGCATAATTCAAAATGAGTGTTGAGTGATTCTAGTCCCAAAATAGACAGCAAATCACCACCTGGTACTCGATCAGCTTTCTCCATCACAACATGATGGTGACTGCTGAGCTGGAGACGTCTCTGAGGTGCCCTTCTAGCTTCAGTATGAAAATCTGAGCCATAAAGTCCAAACTAATCAGTTTCTACTTAAAAAAATACAAAAAGGTAAAACACACTACATGATGAATTCCGCTACTATCAAAATAAATAACATGATCTAACTCAATGGTTTGACTCTGAGCTCTTAGACGAAATCAGATGGAATGTCACATGTGGAGACTCCCTCCTAGGGACTAGCTGCTAGTAGGCAAAAGTATCTCAACGTCCTTGCCATTGGCTATGCCAGCACTGGAGGAGCAACTGCTGGCAAGGTCTTCTGTGGTGGTCACAGAGGAGGCCTGGGAATGCGTTTTGGTCAGTGGAGTTGTAGCAGATGGAGATGGGGTGAGGCCAGGTTTTTTGGGTGGGATGGGTGGAGGATTCCCTCTCTCAGCTCTGGGAATTGTAGGAGACTTGATCCCTGGAGAAAGGGGGCTTAGAGGACTGGATACTTTTCCTGGAGTAGGTGAATGGCTGGTGTCACCTCTGGGGTTGGCAGTGTTGGCCAGATTACGATAGTCTGTGCCAAAGGGAGAGCTATTGGGAGAGACAGGCTTGATTGGCCCTTGTTGGCTAGTGAATCTGGAGAGCACCTGAGTGACTGTGTTTCGGGCCAGCTGCTTGGCAGCAGAGTTGTCTATGAGGGTGGGGGACAGATCCCTGGATGGAGGGCTCTGTAGACCACTTGCTTGTTGGTCTTGGTCTGCTTGCGACTGAAACTTGTGTCGAGCTGCATGAAACCGCTGATTGATCCCTACTTGGTAGGATGACTGGTAGCCTGGGCTACTAGCTGATGACCCTAATAGGCGCTTAGTTAGTACTGGTGAAGAGCAAGGAGAGGATGTTAGAGAGGAGGAGGCAGTGCTGCTGGGAGAAAGCGAGCTCCCACTAGAAGGGAGGTGACTGGACACTGGGACTGGAGACTCGATTCCCACAGGACACCCACCATTCTCCACTGGTTTTTCTTGGGTCAGTCCCACAGACTTCTCTCGTGGTGGCACTTGATTTTCTGCACTGCTGCCTGCTATCAACTCCCTGGTCGTTTGTATTTCCGGGTCACCATGGCCATTGGTTTTTGCATAAGAGTAAGCAGGAGTGGTGGGGCCAGGCAGCCCAGTGTTTGTCACCTTGCCTATATTGCTCCCGTGGGTTCTTTCTGCCTGAAAACTCTCCGTTTGGCAAAACACAGATACAAGCACGGGAGGCTCAGTCACTGTGCCTTTGGACATGGTTACTAGTTGCTTCGATTGCTCATTAGGGCTACTGTGCTGGCAGGAAGCCTCTAGGTCCTTTACTATCTTTTTCAAACTTTCCATTTCTTCTTTCAGAGTTTTGGTCCGGTTCTCTTCGCGGTTCAGTTTTGCTCTCAGTTGTTCCCTTTCGATGTCAAACTCTGACAACTGCTTCTCCACCTGGGCCTCAGTCTGTAAGCCTCGCCTCCTTTCAGCTGCCAGCTCCTCCTCCAGTTTGCTCACCCGGCTCTTCTCCTTCTCCAGTTTCAGGCTCAGCTCTCCCGCCTTCTGCCCCTCTTCGGCTGCCTTGCTGGTGGCTTTCTTGCACTCCAGCACCAGCATGGAGGAGAGCTGCTTGTGGCGGGAGCGCTCCTCTTCCAGCTGGCTGGAGAGCTTCTTCTGCTCTTTCTCAAATTTTTTCACTTGGGACTTTTCAAATTCCAACTAGAAAAAAAATATCACCACACATCTTGATTAGAGAAAGAGAGAGATGTACCAAATCAACTATAATCAAGTAGAACGTCCTGGCCAGCTGTTCTTGGTTCACAGGAGCACCATGTATGCCGTGAGCTTAGATCAGCTTTCTATGAAGTATTAGAACATCTAACACCAAGAGCACGCAATATGACCTAGGCACATCTAGTTCTGCAAACTGTCTCAGGCTGTTTAGTAGGAATACAATGCAACATTGTAGTTTAGACAGGTAGAGAATTCAGAACCTTAGAACAGGAAAAAGGTGATACAAACTATATTTATGGTGATGCTGCTGAAAAACACTTTTAAAGTTTCAGCAATAATTTTCTCTGGTTATAAACAAAAAACAACATAAATAATTGTATTCAAATAACACTTTTTAAACAAATGTAGTCTGTTTAACTGCCATCCCAACCCTATTTAAGGCACAGTCAGAGACTGTGGGCTAAGAGGGAAAGGACTGAAGGAACCAACTTGGAGAAACATCAACAGGTACTGTCAGCAATAAGAGTTAAACACACCATTTTGTGCAATCTTGTTTCAGGCGTTATGTGTGTCTATGTATCAGGTCCTGATATAAAATCTATTTCTTCCTAGGGGTCCAAAGTCAAAAAAAGTTGGAGAGCTTTAGCTTTAAGTTAGTGTTCTGTAGAACACAAGTCCTACAATGAGTGATCTATTTCAAAAAAAAGATTTTATGGAAACAGAGATTTATTAAACAATATATTTGATCTTGTTCTTGACGATACAATGTGCTTTTTGTGTACTATCTAACTCATTGCTGCCGAGTTGGATCTGACTCATAGTGACCCCTCCTTGGGTTTCTGAGGCGGTATCACTATGGAAGTAGATTGCCCAACCTTCCTTCCAAGGAGTAGCTGGTGGGTTTGAACCGCCAGCCTTCTGGTTAGCAGTCAAGTGCCTTAGGCACTATGCCACCAGAGCTCCTTTTGTGTACTACACAGTCTAATAAGTTAAGTTAAAAGCCGGTTTAAGCTTTTTAATTCAGTAGTCAAACTCATTTGACTGCAAAACCCTCTTTTTTTTAGTGACCCAATATCCATCCTATGGAACAACCTTTGAGAAATGCTATTTGAAGCAAATGCTGTCGTGATCCATCCCACTTTACTTACCTGTTGCGTCAGCCGCTCTCGTTCCTTCTCCAGCATATAGGTAACATCGTCTCCTTCAGCTGTGTCCTGTGCATGCCTTTGTCTTTCTTCCTCAAGGTCTAGGATTACCTTTAAAGAATTTTTTTCAAAAGTCATTTCCAAATACCAAATAATTACATTTTTTATTAAACAATCAAATACTGAATACCCATCTAAGAGCCTGAGATGATGGTACCAGAGATTTAAAAAAAAAAAAAAATTATATATGTATATATAATTTAACATACTTTGTCTAGAAGGCACACATTGTCTAGAAGGGTGCAAAACATGAAAGCTATGTGCTAGAAAACTGTAAGATACATGCTTTACTTGAGGTACACACAAATGGTTATGTAAACATAGAGAAAAGAACAACTTATTAATGGTGAGGATTGGAAAAGGTTTTAGAGAATTAACAGGAAGTCTAGGAAACTACAAGGAATTTGATGTCACTAGGGGGCAGGGGTAGAAGGAGGAGCAAAATAGTACACAGAAAGATGAATGCTGAGGTTCTCTCCTCTATGCTCAAACTGCCAGAGACACCAAAAAGGGACCTGGAAACTAAACATTTCAATAGGTGATGTGCTAACCATCCTTGCTTAATTAATCATATGCATTTATAGATACAGTTAGGTAAGAGGTAAGAAGGCTCTTGACTTCATGCTGCATGCAAAAAGACTGCATTATTGGGATATTAAATGGAGATTTTTCACAAGGCCTTTTAATTAACCTCCTACCCCTATTCCACTTTTGCTGGTGCAAAGGGATTAGGCTCAATTTTAAGAATACAAATTAAAGAGACATTTTCCACATGATTCTGTCTGTAACTGCACACTCTTCCCAGTGGTGATGGACATCTCGTAGCTCCTGCTTATGCTGCAGAGGTGCTTTGGCACAGACCTCCAGGGTAGGACACTGTCACCAATGGGCATTTCTTATCACTCCTCCTCATTAGTGATTCTTATGACTGGAGAAAGAAAAATTTCTGGGACATGAACCCCCTTCTCAAAAAAAATTTAAAAAGTTGGTATACTTACAGTTTAAAAATGAAACTGTAAGTTTTCCATTTAACTAAAAGACAAGCTTTTGGTTAAAGGTTAAAACACAGGCTTTTTGGTAAACTGAATAGGCTCAATATTTGATAAAACCAGATATGACACAGAATAAGGGCGAGGAAAGACTGTATTTGTTTTGGAAAGATAATGAGAGGTGGAAAGGAAAGAAAGGTGGGGTGTAAGATGATTAAACACTCAATTATCACAAAAGGAAGTAATGTACCTCATAAAAATGAAATACTTTTATTCATCAAAAGGCTTTATCAAAAAAGTGAAAAGATAACTTAAGAGCCTGGGAGAAAACTTCTGGGAACCACATATTTAATAGGGGTCTAATATCCAAAATATATAAAACACTTCCACTACTTAACAAAAAGCTAAACAACCTAATAAAAAATGGGCAAAAGGCTTGAACAGACATTTCACCAAAACAGACATTTTCAAATAAAAACAAATACACAATAAGATACTCAATGTCATTCGACATTAGGGAGATGAAAAGCAAAACCACAGTGAAGTATCATTTCACCCCCATTAGAATAGTGATGATCAAAAAAGCTGAAAATAACAGATGTTGGTGAGGCTGTGGAGCAACTAGAACCCTCATCCATTGCTGGAGGGAAAGTAAAATGATACAGCTGCTATGGAAAATAGTTTGGCAGTTCCTCAAAAAACTGAACACAGAACTACGACATTATTGAGCAATCTCAATCCTAGATGTATGCCCAGAAGAAGTGAAAGCAGGAACCCAAACAGAAACCTGCACACCAGTGTTCACTGCAGCACTTTTCACAACAGCCAAAATGTGGAAACAACTGAAATGTACATCAACAGAAGAATGGATAAACAAAATGTGGTATGTCCATACCATGTACACTGTATCTCTTTATAGCCATAAAAATAAATGAATTTCACAACACGGATAAACCATAAAAACATTATGCTGAGTGCAGTAAGTCAGCTGCAAAAGGACAAATACTATCTGATGTTACATATATGAAATAAGCAAATATATAGAAACCAAAAATTATTAGCGGTTATCAGGGGTGGGTTTTTGTACTTGTTAGGTACAGGTGAGTCGGCTCCAACTCATAGCCACCACATATATAACACAACTTGTACACCAGGGGTGGGAGGGAGCAGGGAAAAGGAGAGTTTGGGTATTGAGTTTATTATGTTCACGGTGGTGAAATAATTTGGAAAAAGATAGCAAAAATGGTTGTTATGTGCCGTGGAGCCGGACCCAACTCATATCAACCCCTCCTTGGGTTTCCGAGGCAGTATCACTACAGAAGTAGCTTGCCCCATCTTCCTTCTGAGGAATGGCAAAAATGGTTATACAACTTTAAGAATGTAATCAGTGCCCCTGAATCATATATGTTGTTGTTGTTGTTATGTGCTGTCGAGTCAGACCAGACTCATAAGCGACCCCTCCTTGGGTTTCCAAGGCAGTATCACTATGAAAGTAGATTGCCCCATCTTCCTTCCGAGGAGTGGTTGGTGGGTTTGAACCACTAGCCTTCTGGTTAGCAGTCAAGTGCCATAGGCACTATGCTACCAGAGCTCCTGAATCATATGTGTGTTGTTGTTGTTTGCTGTCGAGTCGGCCCCAACTCATAGCGACCCCTCCTTGGGTTTCCAAGGCAGTATCATCACTTTGGAAGTAGGACTGCCCAACCTTCCTTCCAAGGAGTGGCTGGTGGGTTTGAACCTCCAGCAGTCAAGTGCCTTAGGCACTATGCTACCAGAGCTCATATACGTAGAAACTTTTAAACTGACGTATGTTTTGTTGTGTATATTTTCATCACAAAAAAAGATAAGACTTGCACCTCCCCTCAATAAAGAAGGAACATAAATGCCTCATATTGATAAAAGGAGAGTAGTCCATTATTTAGAAATATGGAGCCTAGCTACCAAAATAAATAAATAAATAAATAAATAATAAAAGTGGTTGTCTCTGAATACTGAGGAGCAGGGGTAATAGGAAGAGGTACACTAGGGAACTCTTTTTCATTATAAGCACAGAAACCATGTAATTTACTGTTCAAACCAGAACACTTTTGAGAGTGAAAGGGGGCATTGTTAGTACTATGCCAAGGCAATAGGGATAAACTGGAACTTTCTCTGGCAAGTGGGGACTATGGATACCCTAATTAAAAGCTTCTAGATACTACCTTCTTTATTTTTAAAAATTTTTATTGTGATTTGGGTGAAAGTTTACAGAGCAAATTCATTTTCCACACACATTTTGTTTCATGACATGACTGCAATTCCCCACAACGTAACAGCTCTCTTCCCACTTCCTCCCTGTAGTTACCTCTTCCCTGTGTCCTTTCTTCCCATGCACTCCCACCCCTGGAGCTATCCCCTGTGCAAGTACTGCCCTTATGTTCCCCCATGATTTATGGCTCCAAGGAGTACAGCTACCTGATGTAAATGTTCATCCATGTGCCTGTCTATTGTTCGGCTGCAAGCCACAGCAATGGGTTCAGTTCCAGACCTGAAGGGTAACTAGGGGCCATAGTCTTGGAGGTCTTACCAGGCCCTATCAGACCAGTAAACTGGGTCTTTTTTTTTTTTTTTTTTTAAATGATTTTGACTTTTGTTTCACAGTGTTGTCTCCCTCTATCCAGGATCTCCTGCACTGATCCCTTTCTGAGTGGTTGACAGTGGTAGCCAGGCACCATCTAGTTCTTCTGGGCTCATGGTCATATAGGCCGGAAGATTGCATGGTCTACCGGTCCCTTGGACTAATTGTTTCCATGCGTCTTTGGTTTTCCTCATTCTTTTTTGCTGCGGATGAGCAGAGACCCATCATTACATCTAGATGGCTGTTTGCAAGATTTTAAGATCCCAGTCGCTACTCCCCACAGTAGGATGTAGAACAATGGTTTTGTGTAGTATGTTATGCCAATTGAGCTTCATGTCCTCTGTGACCATGGTCCCGAGCCCACAGGTCCAACCACTTGCTCCCTCTGGGTAGCTGGCTATGGCCAAGAAGCTACCACAACCTTGCCCCTTGTTAGCTCCACCACACACCTGGACATTCTTACAGCACATACAAATACACTGTAGAAACATTGTCTGCCAACCCTATACATGGTCATGGGCACACTCCTCCCTGTCTGGACATACCTGGTCGTTCACCCTGTCTAACCATCTATCCACTCGTAGATCAATGCTTGCCATCATTGACAACACAATATTATACACGCAAAAGTGTTCATTTTTGTCATCTGTACTTCTCATGTACCTGTCTCTGTCTTCCTCTTCCTCAGTGCCACAGTGTTGATCACTCACTTCTGGTACATTGCTCTTCCCTTTACCCAAATTAATACTCATTTCTATCTACCTAGTAGTGTTCCCTCTGCCTCCCCTCCCACCCCTTGTAACCAACAAAGAAAGTTTCCTTCCATATATAAACCTTTCCTTGCCTTTTTACAATAGTTTTTCATAGATTTTCTTGTAAATATGCTATAACCTTACACAATTACATATTTTAATACAGTATTTGTTCTTCTGTGATTGACTTATTTCACTAAGCATAATGTCCTCCAAGTTCATCCATGTTATGCAGTGTTTTGCAGATTCAACATTATTCTTTAGTGTTGCATAGTATTCCGTTATGTGAATGTACTATATAGCTTGGTTATCCATTCTTCTGTTGATGGGCACTTAGGTTGTTTCCGTCTGTTTGCTACTGTGAATAGTGTTGTGATGAACATGGGTGTGCATATATTCTTCTTCTTCTGGCTCTCCTTTTTTTTAAATTTGCCATTGTTGTTGTTGTTATGTGCCGCCGAGTTGGCCCCGACTCATAGCGACTCCTCCTTGGGTTTCTGAGGCAGTATCACTACGGAAGTAGGATTGCCCAACCTTCCTTCCGACGAGTGGCTGGTGGGTTTGAACCACCAGCCGTCTGGTTAGCAGGCAAGTGACTTAGCCACTATGCTACCAGAGCTCCCATAGCATACATATAATGATCACTTCATACAAAATGTTCAAACATTACAATAGAATGATTACCTTTACCCC